GCTGAGATATGGTACCATACCAAACAGGCATGCCTACTCTAACTACTGTTATTCACTATGTCCCTGGAAGTTTTAGCCAGAGCCATTAGGCAAGAAAAAGAAATCAAAGGGATACAAATTGGGAATGAGGAAGTCAAACTATTCCTATTTGCAGATGACATGATTCTATATATAAGGGATTCCAAAAATTCCACTAAGAGACTAATGGAACTCATAGAAGGGTTTGGTAAAGTAGCAGGATATAAAGTCAATGCATAAAAATCAACAGCCTTTGTATACACAGACATTGCCACAGCAAAGAAAGAACTTCTAAGATCAATCGCATTCACAATAGCTACAAAAAAAATCAAATACCTTGGAATAAATTTAACCAAGGATGTCAAGATCTCTACAATGAAAATTACAAAACATATAGAAAGAAATAGAAGTTGTTACCAAAAAATGGAAAAATCTTCCATGTTCATGGGTTGGAAGAATCAATATCATCACAATGTACATATTACTGAAAGCAATATACAGATTCAATGTGATACCAATCAAAATATAAAAGCCATTCTTCTCAGATCTAGAAAAAATGATGCTGAAATTCATATGAAGGTACAGGAGACCACTAATAGCTAAAGCAATTTTACACAACAAAAACAAAGCCGGATGGGGGCCGGAGCTGTGGCACAGAGGGTAAAGTGCAGTGCCGGCATCCTATATGGGTGCCAGTTCGAGACCCAGCTGCTCCACTTCTGATCCAGCTCTGTCTTCAAACAGTACTTTATACTTTGTGTGTCTGTGTGGATGCAAACTGCTGAAATCTTTACTTAGTATAGAGTTGGTCTTCTGTATATAAAGATAAGTAAAAACAAATCTTAATGAAGAATTAGGTGGGAGAGGGGGCAGGAGGTGGGACAGGAGTGGGGGTGGGAGAGCAGGTATGGGGGGAAGAACCACTATATTCCTAAAGCTGTACCTGGGAAATTTATATATTAAATAAAAGCTTTCTTAAAAAAAAAATGGGTGGATCACATTCAATTACTTCAAAGTTTTAACAGAAAAAAGACTGACATACTTGAGAGGAAGAGGGAATTCTGCCTTTAGCCTGGAACAATATCTCTTCTTACAGCCTACCAACCTACCCTACAGATTTTGGACTTAGCAACCTATTCATGTGTGTGTGCATGCACATACACACATTCACACACACACACCCACACACACACATACCCCTTGTTGGTTCTATTTCTACAGAGGACTCTAACACACCTTACCTGAGTAAAAGATCTCATAACCAAACAGAATACCCTACCCTTCCTTTGGAGTTTATTCTACGACAAAGTGGTATTTCAATAATTAAATTCCATAAAAACAAATCTCCTCAGTCATAGTAAACAAAACTGATTAGGAATGGAAAATCTGGGGCCAGTGCAGTGGCACAGTGAGTTAAAGTCCTGGCCTGAAGCGCCGGCATCCCATATGGGCACTGGTTCTAGTCCTGACTGCTCCTCTTCTGATCCAGCTTTCTGCTATGGCCTGGGATAGCAGTAGAAGATGGCCCAATTCCTTGGGCCCCTGCACCCGCGTGGGAAACCCGGAAGAAGCTCCTGGCTCCTGGCTTTGGAGTGAACCAGCAGATCAAAGACTCCTCTCTCCTTCTCCCTCTCCCTCTCTGTAATTCTGTCTTTCAAATAAACAAATAAATCTTTTTTAAAAAAGCATATAAAAATTATTTATCGTTGGGGCTGGCACTGTGGCATAGTGGGTAAAGCCACTGCCTGTAGTGCTGACAACCCAAATGGCTGCCAGTTCGAGTCCCGGCTGCTCCACTTCTTTATTTTTTTTTTAAAGATTTATTTATTTATTTGAAAGTCAGAGTTACACAGAGAGAGAAGTAGTAGAGAGACAGAGGGGTCTTCCCTCCGATGGTTCACTCCCCAATTGGCCGCAACAGCCAGAGCTGCGCAGATCCAAAGCCAGGAGCCAGGAGCTTCCTCCAGGTCTCCGACACAGTTGCAGGGGCCCAAGGAGTTTGGCCATCTTCTACTGCTTTCCCAGGCCATAGCAGAGAGCTGAATAGGAAGTGGGGCAGCCGGGACTCAAGCCGGCACCCATATGGGATGCTGGAGCTTCAACCCACTGCTCCATATCACCAGCCCCTTGGCTGCTCCACTTCTGAGCTGCTCCACTGGCGCAGCTCGGCTGTTGTGGCCATCTGGGAAGTGAACAAGCAGATGGAAGACCTCTCTTTCTGTCTATCTCTCTCTCTCTCTCTAACTCTTTCAAATAAATAAAATAAATCTTAAAAAAAAGAAGAATGGAAAATCTAAAGCAAGATGATACGCAGGTAGCTGAATTTCATCTAAAAACACACCCTTTTGTAGGCTTTCATACACCAACACACCCCTGAAAAACCAAAGTCAACAAACACTGCATCACAGTGGCTTACTCCTTTTCTCTATAAATCCCATTCACATTCAGCTCCCTTCTTAACACATTGGTTCCCTCATCTTTCTAAATCTTTTTGTTTTTGAAGATTGACTTTATTTCTTTGAAAGGAAAAATTACAGGGAAAGAGACAGAGTGAATTAAGATTTTCTATCCTCTGGTTCACTCCCCAAATGGCTGTAGTGGCTGGGTAGGGCCAGGCCTAAGCCAGGAGCCAGGAGATTCTTCTGGGTCTCCCATGTGGGTGCAGGGGCCCAAGGACTTGATCCTTCTTCTGATGCTTTCCTAGGCACATTAGCAAGGAGTACGACAGGAAGAGGAGCAGCCAGGACTCAAACTAGCACCTCTATGGGATGCCAGTGTTGCAGGCACCAGTCCCTTCACCACACCTATTTCTACCCCAAAATAAACTTGAGGAAATTTGCTTTCAATCCTATGAAATAAAACTATACTTTCAGAAGCAAGATTCCATTATCTAGGGCAGATATTTGGGCTAGTGGGTTAAAGATATCTACAACCTATATCAGAGTACCTTGGTTCAACACCTTCTTTCAGTTCCTGAGTCACTAATGCAGACCCTGGAAGGCAGAAGTAATAGCTCAAGTAATTGGGATCCTACCTCCCATTTGGGAGGCCTGCATTGAGTTACCAACACCCAGCCTTGGTCTCTATCACCTCCAACCCCTGTAAGCATTTGGAGTGTGAACTAGTAGATGGAAGCTCTCTTATGCTCACTCTCTCTCTACCTCAAGTAAATACATTTTTTAAAAAAATTGTCATTCCAGAGGCCAGCGCTGTGGCATAGTGGGCAAAGCCATCACCTGCTGTGCCAGCATCCCATATGGGTGCCAGTTCGAGTCCCGGCTGCTCCTCTTCTGATCCAGCTCTCTGCTATGGCCTGAGACAGTAGTGGAAGATGGCCCGAGTGATTGGGCCCCTGCACCCATGTGAGAGGCCAGAAGAAGTTCCTAGATCCTGGCTACTGGCTTCGGATCAGCCCAGCTCTGGCAGTTGTGGTCATCTGGAGAGTGAGATGAAAGATCTGTCTCTCTCTCTCTCTCTGCCTCTGCCTCTCTGTAACTGTGCCTTTCAAATAAATAAATAAATCTTTAAAAAAATATATACTGTGACCTAAAGATGTTGTATCATTTTCACATTCATCCAGTTTCCAAGCCCCATGTTTCTGAAATGCACAGTATGATCTGAAAGGATCTGAGAGACGCCTAGCTGCCAGCCTCATAAACTCTGCACTACTAAAATTTTAATCATTTTCCAGCAATCTCTGCAACTAAGAATTCAAGTTAAGGAGATGTAGTATGTGAAAAGACAGTACCTATTTCAAGTTATTAGGAAAAAGAGTCAAAATAAAGAATAACAAAGCTAGAAAGAAAGTGGTTCTCTCATGACATCAAAGACCGATTACACTAGCTCAGACTATCTATACACTTCTAATTACATGATTTGTGTAGCTACTAGCTTATAACTTTACTAGCAGCTGAATGTAATTTTAAATAGAATTATGTTTAGAAAAAGTCACTGCACAGGGCGAGCACTGTGGCACAGAAGGCTAAGCCTCTGCCTGTGGCACTGGAATCACATATGAGTGTTGGCATGCATCCTGGCTATTCCTCTTCCAATCCAGCTCTCTGCTGTGGCCTGGGAAAGCAGTAGAAGATGGCCCAAGTCTTGGGCCCCTGCACCCATGTAGGAGACCTGGAAGAAGCTCCTGGCTTCTCACTTCGGATCAGCCCAGCTCTGGCCGTTGCAGCCATTTGGGGAGTGAACCAGCAGATGAAGACCTCTCTCTCTCTCTCTCTCTCTCTCTCTCTCTCTCTCTAACTCTGCTTCTCAAATAAATAATCTTTTAAAAAAAAAGTCACTGTGCATAATCAATCACAAAAGTAACTATATGAGGAACACAAACTGAAAAAGATGCCCTCAATAATTGTAATCTTTTATTTCCAGATTATATTCTGACCTACCACTGGCTTTTTTTTTTTTTTTTTTTTTTTTTTTGACAGGCAGAGTGGACAGTGAGAGAGAGAGACAGAGAGAAAGGTCTTCCTTTGCCGTTGGTTCACCCTCCAATGGCCGCCGCGGCCGGCGCGCTGCGGCCGGCGTACCGCGCTGATCCGATGGCGGGAGCCAGGAGCCAGGTGCTTTTCCTGGTCTCCCATGGGGTGCAGGGCCCAAGCACCTGGGCCATCCTCCACTGCACTCCCTGGCCACAGCAGAGAGCTGGCCTGGAAGAGGGGCAACCGGGACAGAATCCGGCGCCCCGACCGGACTAGAACCTGGTGTGCCGGCGCCGCTAGGCGGAGGATTAGCCTAGTGAGCCGCGGCGCCGGCCCCTACCACTGGCTTTCTTTTGGGTCCTGCTATCACCCCACATATAAAAACTAAAGTTAGGGAAAAAAATACTAAGTTTTATCATCAGGTCACAAGTTTTACTTCCATTTTCTGAGAATTTAGTTTTACAGATGCAAAAATTTTAAGACATCAAGGTTCCCCTTCCGGAATATAACGCAAATCTCTAACAGGAGATTCAATTGTTTCAATTTCCTTACCCGGATGATCCAGTGCTCTTACAAACACCAAGAAGGGGTCTTTTTTCAGCAAAACTATCACACTTTTGAGCACCTGAAAATGAGAAGAAAAGACAATGTAATCTTCACGCTTTCAAAATATTTGTAACTGAAAATATGAAAAGTCAACATAAATTGATTTAATTTATACACTTGACTGAACAGAAAGAAAAGCTAAATAAACCTGTAACCATTAAAAGTTAAACTAGCCTTTTCAAAATCATTTTTAAAAATGAGTTTTTAAATGTCACCAACTTCAATCTTATACCCATGTACATGAAATCACCTCCCATGTTTAACAAAATATTAGTGAACATATCAGAAAACTTACAACCAACTTACATTAATCCAATAGTAATAGTTTCACATTATAAACCTGTGAAATTATTATTTCATTAACAATAATTTCTGTGGCTCAGCAGGTTAACACCCTGGCCTGAAGCACCGGCTTCCCATATGGGCACCAGTTCTAGTCCCGGCTGCTCCACTTCCAATCCAGCTCTCTGCTATGGCCTGGGAAAGCAGTAGAAAATGGCCCGAGTCCTTGGGCCCCTGCACCCTGCTCCTGGCTCCTGGCTCCTGGCTCCGGATCAGTGCAGTTCCGGCCATTGCGGCCAACTGGGGAGTGAACCATCAGATGGAAGACCTCTCTCTCTCTCTCTCTCTCTCTCTCTCTCTCTCTCCTCTCCCTGTGTAACTCTGACTCTCAAGTAAAAAATAAATAAATCTTTTTAAAAAGTGCCTCTTGGGATGCCTAAATCTCCTGTTAAAATCCCTAGGTTCAAGCCAAGGAGTTGCTTCCCAATTCCAGCTTCCTGCTAATGCACACCTTGAGTAGGTAATGGCTCAAGTACTTGGGTCCCTGTCATTCATGTGGATAACCTGGTTTGAGTTCTAATCTCCTGTCTTCAGCCTCATACAGCCCTGGCTGTGGTTGGCATTTGTGGAGTGAATCAGCAGATGGAAGATCTCTGATATTCAAATAAATGAAAGTATATTTTAAAAAGAACAACAACAAAATGGGGCAGGCATTTTAGCCTAGCAGTAAAGCTGGTTAACCTGCCAGTTAGGATACCCATCAAAGTGCCTGGATTCAATACCTGCCTCTGGCTCATGATTCCAGCTTCCTGCTAATGCAGACCTTGGGAGGCAGCAGCAATGATTCAAGTAAATGGGTTCCTGGCTCCTACATTCAGAACAGCCCAACCCTGGCTGTTCTGGGGCACTTGGGGAATGACTCAGTAGAAGAGAGTATACTTTTTCTCTGACTCTCTCTCGCAAACAAATTTTAAAAATTTGAAAAAGAATTAAGTAGTCCATAAATGACAGAAGATACAAAGTTGAAAAAGGAATATGTATAATAGTACACCATATTTCAAATGAAGAGGGGGAAAAAAGGGATGATTTTTATATATATCAACATTTCCACACTACAAAATACATCAAAAATCATGGACTGACAGTTCTCAATGGGAGACAATAGAAAATATGGAAGATAGAGGGAAGTAAGAGGAAATATCTAACTGAACCAAAATTTTATACTTTTTAGTTTTCAAAACAATGTGAATATACAAATTTACACCAAAGTCTCTGCTTTGTTGTTACATGTAGAGGCAAACATCAAAACAGAAAAATAAGTGGTTGTTCCAACTTTGGAGCTAAGTGAATAGCAGCCTGACAACATACATTTCATTTTATGCCTTATGAAAACTCTTAAATAAGCAGATTTTAAAAATATATAACCATCCCACCAAATTTAGGAAATAGATGACTCATGACTGACTTTGTAGTCTTAAATAAAAATTTAAGACAAGAAAACTCTGAGATTCAAACTACACCCTGAAATCTTTAAAAGGCACATTGACTGATAACACCTGTACAACTGGGACTGGATGTGAAAGAAGATGGAGCCAAAATAAAGAGGCCAGGATTTGTTGTAGGCCTTTTGAAAAAACTTAGCTCCCAAGACCTTCATTCAGGTAACTCATGCTGCCTGTTGCCAACAAAGGACTGAAAGGCTATTCCCCAGAGATGGTAACACAGAAGTACACTGGGTAGAAGGGGATAGAAAACACATCAAAAAGAAAAACAGAGACAGAGAGAGGATTAAATGACAGCATTTATACTTTATACTAAAGCAGCCGTGCCCCATCTCCATGATCCTTCTTCCAGAACACATGCCACAGAACTTTATGCCCTGGACAGGAGCTTCTTCTTGGGGGAATTTAACAAGTCCATAAGCACAGACTAAAATATGCTATCCGTTGGAAGGCTCCAACAAACAAACAGCGCAATCAAAGTATCACACACTAAAAAATTAAACCATGAAAAACTCTAGACACAGAACTTTCAATGTTCTTTTCATTTTAACACTGACAATAATATGCAGACAGCCAAAGATTAACAGTCATCTGGAAAAGTGTCTAGCACTAGACAGGAAGAAAACAACAAAAATAATATCATTAATCATTTCCAGGATATAGGAAGATTTTAAAGGCATGGAACAATAAAAATACAATGAAAAACGGATGTTTAGATTTTAAAAGAAAGCTCTTGGAAATTAAAAAAACAAGATAGATGTTACTTAAAAACTCAACACAGCCATCAGAGGTAAAGAGAGAAGAACAACATAAAAGAGAAGAAAACAGCATTTATAACCTGTGTTAAAAATTTTACAGGAATAGGATTTTTTTTAAAGATTTTATTTACTTGAGAAGTAGAGTTATAGACAATGAGAGGGAGAGACAGAGAGAAAGGACTTCCATCATTGGTTCACTCCCCAAGTGGCCGCAACGGCCAGAGCTGCACTGATCCGAAGCCAGGAGACAGGTGCCAGGTGCTTCTTCCCAGTCTCCCATGTGGGGGCAAGGGCCCAAGGACGTGGGCCATCTTCCACTGCTTTTCCAGGCCACAACAGAAAGCTGGATTGGAAGAGGAGCAGCCAGGACTAGAACCAGCGCCCATATGGGATGCTGGTGCCTCAGGCAGAGGATTAACCTACTGTGCCATGGCGCTGGCCCCCAGGAACAGGATTAAAGATCCATTATATAGATAGCAAGAGTTCCAAAATGAGAAAATAGAAAGAGGAAAATTATCCATGAAATAATTCAAAACTTTCCCCCAAAATAAGAGTATGAGTTCACAAGCACCCTCAGGTTCTAGCACAGTAGATTTAACAGTCCCACATCAGAATATATAATTTCAGGATGTTCCACAAGCAACAAGAGAAAAAGCACATTGTTTATAGGATCAAAAATTCAACTGGTTACTCTTTAAATGGTTTAACCAGGGGTGGGCATTTGGCCTAGCAGTTAAGATGCCCACAAACCCTGTCAGAGAGCCAGGGTTCAGTGCCCACTTCTGGCTTCTCACTCCAGCTTCACACTGGGAGGCACAAACTGGGAGGCAATGGTGATGGCTCCAGTAACTGGATCATTCCTAGCTCCCATCTTTTGAAAGGCACAGTCTGGGTGCCCTTGGAGGCATTCAGGGAATGGACCAACAGGCGCTCTTCCTCTGTCTCTCCCAAATAAGCAAATAAATTATTTTTGACTGATATAGTTTATAATAAAAACTTACAGCTAACATCATAAAGAATGAATGCCTTCTCCTCTAAGTTCAGGTACAAGGTAAGGCTATCCACTCTCACCTCTGCTATTCAGGACAACATTGGAAGTTCTACTAAGCACAACAGGCAACAAACAAAATAAAAGGCACCCAGATGAAAAGGAAGAAACAAAATACTGCTGGAAGATAATAACAGAAAATTCAAAGAAATCAACTTTATAAATTGTCAAACCCTAAATCTACTGAGTTATTAACTTAGCAAGGTCACAGACTATGAGATTAACAAAAAGATACTATCCATGAGCACATGAAAACTGAAATGTAAAATACGGTATCACTGATAGTTGCTCAAAAAAAAAAAAGATAAAATACTCAAGAACAGAGGAGGGCATTGTGGCACAGCAGGTTAAGCCTCCACTTGGAATGGATGCATCCCTTATCAGAGCATCTAATTAAAGTCACACGTACTCCACTTCCTATCTAGCATCCAGTTAATGCAAACTGAGAGACAGCAGATCACAGAACAAGTGCTTGGGCCCTTGTCAATCTCATGGGAGACCCAGATCAAGTTCCAGGCTCCTAACTCTGGCCTGACCCAGTCCTGGCTGTTACAGGCATTTGGGAATACAATGGATACAAGACGGATTGATGGATAGATCTCTCTTTCTCTGTCATTTGGTCTTTCACACAATGCAAATATTTAAATAATCATTTTATTTAAAAAAAAAAATCAGGTATATGGGGCCAGTGTTGTGGCACAAAAGCTTAGGCCACCACCTGCAACACTGGCATTCTATGAGTATGGTTCAAGTCCCAGCTTCTCTACTTCCAAATGAGTTCCCTGTTAGTGCACCTGAGAAAGCAGTACAAGAAGGCACAAGTCCTTGGCCCCTGAATCCATGTGGGAATCCCACATTTTTAGTTCCTGGCTCCTGACTTCTGCCTGGCCCAGCCCCAGCCATTGTGGTCATTAGGAGAGTAAGCAAATGGATAGAAGATCTCTCTCTTTCCCTCTCTCTTTCTCTCTTTGTATCTCTGACTTCCAAATAAATCTAAAAAAAAAAAAAAAAAAAAAAAAAAAAAAAAAAAAAAAAAAAAAACCTCAAGTATAAATCTGTGAAAGAAATGTTTTATTTATACATTCAATTTCCAGTTTTTTTAAATCTTACCATTTAAAAATAAATGTAGCAAGCTCTTGCAAACATATTTACTGCATTATTCACAACAGCCACAAGATGGAAACAACCCAAAAGTCTACAAATTAATGACTGACTCTCTCTCTCTCTCTCTCTCTCTCTCTCTCTCTCTCTATATATATATATATATATATATATATATATAAAATGGGGGAAAGTGTTGTGGTGCAATGGGTTAAACTGCTGCCTGTGATGTCAGCAACCCATTCAGAACTGCCAGTTCCAGCCCCAGCTGTTCAACTTACAATCCAGCTCCCCGCTAATGTGCCTGAGAAAGCAGCAGAAGAGAGCC